CAGGACTTACAGAACCGTAACAAGGAGGATCGTGGGACGTTCTCAGGGCTTACAGAACCGAAACAAGGAGGATCGTGGGACATCAGACAGCAACTACTGAGCTTTTATTCTGAAAGTTTAAGCCAGAAATAACTCACTTCCTGTCTGGACTGTTCTGGAGTGAAATGATCAAAGATGTCCAGAATAACACCAGCTGGACCTGACAGACCTGCTACACAGGTCCAAACCTGGTTCTGGTGATTTTTACTGGTTTAAGCACAGAGTCCAAAACACCAGAATCAGACCAAAACCGGATCAGGACCAGCAGGGCCAAAAGAAGGAAACTATTTATCAACTGAGATGGACCAAACCCACCCAGGTGGTGCTGACCTGATTTCTGCTGCTCACTTGAATGCAACACAGTTGAATAAAATCCTGGTAAAAATATCTGATGAACCTGAACGCAACACATTCTGCCAGAAACCTCTAAGGAACCTGAACGCACCAAATTCTGTCAGATTATTTTGAGGAACTTGAACACACCATGTTCTAATAGACCTCTAAAGAACCCTGAACGCACCACTCCCTGACAGAACACTGAGGAACCTGAATGCACCATGTTCTGATAGAGACCACTGAGACTTTGACACCGTTGCCTCACCGCAAGAAGGTCCTGGGTTCAATCCCCGGTTGTACCTGGGGTCTTTCTGTGTGGAGTTTGCATGTTCTTCTCGTGCTTGCGTGGGTTTTCACTGAGTACTCCGGTTTCCTCCCACAGACCAAAAACATGCACGTTAGGCTGCCTTCAGGCCTCCCTTCAAAAGAGATCTGTGATCTCAGTGGGATGTGCCTGATTAAATAAAGGTTGATTAAAGAAATCAACTAAGGAACCTGAACGCACCAAGTTCTGACACAAACTTCTGAAGAACCTGAACACACCACATTCTGACAGAGACCTCTGAGGAACCTGAACGCACCAAGTTCTGACACAAACTTCTGAAGAACCTGAACGCACCACATTCTGACAGACCCAAGGAACCAGATTCTGTGGACCAGACCTGAACCTGAAGGTTTAAAATGGCAGCAGCTGTGGGAACCCCTGATCCTGGTCCAGGACTGAAGTCCAGAAGAACTGAGCAGGTCCTGACAGGACCAGGACCACCTCAGGATCATTGAAGCTGAATTTGTTGAGTTAGAATTAAAATCTGTCTCAAACATCTTCAGATTAAAGCTGCGCTGACTGGTTCAACAACAAACAAGCAGACAAATAAACAAACAAGCAGACAAATAAACAAGCAGACAAATAAACAAACAGACGAACAAAGAGACAAATAAA